CTAAAAGGCAGCCGACAAATCCGTAAAATTAATATGTGGACAATAACGCGCCGACACAACGGAGAAGGTACAAACACTGAGATTGACTCGGACGGATGTGACACAATCACAACAGGTATAGTAAGGACAAAACTTTACAATGACCTACGACCTAATTTATGTGCGACAATGAGCGGAGGCCCACCAGACGCAAACTAAAACTACATCGAAATGCATTACAAGCGGAAAAGTACAGTAAATGTACTGTGCAACAAACCAAAGGACGCGACAGCCAGAAACTCGCGAACAATGAGTCAGAATATCACGCAACCTTGAGGTCTACTGCTATCGAAGATAGTTGGTAAGAAAACGAATCCCACCCCTAGATTAGAGCAGGCGGTGTAACGGAAATGGAGCGGGTGACGTAGGGATAAAATGCGTACTCCGAACCAGCTTCTCCCGAGAAACAAAATTGACGGGGTGCACGAAGGTCATTTTCGTATGCAAATATACAATTCAGTTGCAAAGTATCATCTAAATGGCAATCACATCCACTAATATAAAGAGAGATGGGGATAAATTGTGCCAACAGGTTCTGTACCCGTGTAAATGTGATATGCCAGCAGAAGTCGTGATGTTTGTAAGCGCGGAAGCGGACCTTGAACATTGGAAAATTTGCATATATCTATGTGTATAACAATTAATTCGTAAGTTAAGCTCCACGAGCTTGGAATGGCGACACGAAGTCAATCTGTTAATAGTCGTGCCAGAAACAAAAGACATCCACAAAAATTCACCAACTCCAAGAAAACGCGAAACTATAGACCGCATGTGTCCAACGAAGACAGATGTTTATTTCGACTGCATCATTTTCACGAATTCTTCAGTGGCACGATTGACAGCAAACAACGGCGATAACGGGAGAGACGGCGACATGCAAGACAAAAAACAGAAGTAAGTGTATGCCCACAAAAGTTACGACAATTTGACACGGAGCACAAGTACATCCTTACCTTCGTAATTAACTTGGCCATCACCATCAATGTCGGCTTCACGGATCATCTCGTCAACCTCTTCGTCGGTTAATTTTTCCCCAAGATTTGTCATTACATGCCTATAGTGAATGCCTAAGCTAACAGTTATCTAATCATACCGTAACTCGGCGGCGGAAATAAATCCATTGCCGTCCTTGTCGAATACTCGGAAGGCTTCTCTGATCTCTTCCTCACTATCTGTGTCCTTCATTTTTCGAGCCATCATAGTAAGGAATTCCGGGAAGTCGATTGTGCCATTGCCTATTACGCAATATCAAGCATTATAAACTATCAAACCATCGGCGTCAACTTCATTAATCATATCCTGAAG